AAAGATTTGGTTCGGTAATGGTTGGTCTGAGTTTGTGGAGAACCACTCCATTAATACAGGACACCTCTTGGTTTTCCGATTCAGATCAAATTCAAATTTTCATGTCGTTATATTTGATAAGAGTGCTTTTGAGATCGAGTATCCGATTAGTGATGGTGAAGAGCAAGAAAGTGACTTGGAAAGTGATGAAGAACAGTCTGTGGAGATATTGGGTTCTACAACTTTAAATTCATCTTTCAGGACTTTGGGAATCAATTTTAAAAATAAAAGTGCAAGGGCTGGGCCATCTCGCAATGCTTACTCTCCAACGCATAAAAATGAACCAAGAAGAACTGCACGACAAGTAGGGAAACAGGCAGTGGATAAAGGAAATCAACTTGGTAAGCTCTTTACACTAATATCTTCTTGTTCTAATTTAGAGTTTAAAACATTAACCTTTCCCATTGATTGCAGATCATCAAGAGTTCTATGGTTTCCTTAAAGAATTGTGGATTTCTATCAGTAAAGCATGTAGAAATTTTACCGTGGAAGAAAGACAGAGAGCACTTCTTGCAGCCAGATTGTTCAAGCCAAGCAATCATTCATTCTTGGTTATTTTGAGGACCCGTGACTTAAGAAATGAATATGTGGTGAGCTTTGAATAAAATGCATGTGATCATGAATTTTCATTGATAGCCTTTGATATATGGTAATTCCAAATAAATGGTTTTGCTTTGTGCAGTATATGCCAAAGACATTTTGGGTCAAGTGTTTGAGTAAAGAAGTAAAACAGATAAAAATACAAGATTCTGACAGAAAAGAGTGGCCGCTGAGTATCACACACTCGCGTCGTGGGAGACTGATAAGAGGAGGTTGGCGTAAATTTCAACAAGAGAAGAATTTGGAGGAAGGAGACATTTGTGTCTTTGAGCTGATGAGAAAGAGAAAGAGAAACGATGACTTTATTCTGAAAGTTTCAATACATAAAATTAATCCATAATCACAGTTATTAGCATGCATCCTTGATGTTTAACTTTATTTCCAAATTTTGTGTATTTTAGATAGATTCATGAATGCGTTTTCAGCCTATTGTATTCATAATTTCAACAAAACAAACTCTAAAATGTAATCCAAAAATATGAATTACATCTCGACATTTATACAATCTAAAAATTAATCATGTTATTTAAATTATTTCTATTTCCTTCTTCATACGAGTCATAGAGCAGATTCCTGTAATGAAATTGTGGCAATTTTGAATAGGAAGAACACAAGAAGCATCTTTGAAAGTGAGAAGGTGCAAGTTTGCACAGATCTTAATATGCAAGAGTCAAATATGTAGCTATACAGCATACTACAAAGCTATAAAATGAGAATGAAACTCAGATTACTGTCGGCTCACGTTTCTCTAATAATAATTTGAAAGGAAGTGGGCGATGCAAACATTGTTAGCAGCTCGAAAAGTATAGGCAATCAAGTCTACATACATGCATACGATGCGGGATATGAATGTATAATAAAGAGAATGAAATGATGAAGCTTAACACCTTAACCACTTATACATGCTTAGATGGTAAAATCAAATAGAAGGTACCATAATTTGTTAAAAATAGAATTCATCATTGGTGCATGCTCGAAATAACATTTAAGCCGGCAATTACAGGGACTGGGTACTACTATTGTAACCAAGACTGCAAGAGTTGCTAGATCTGTACAAACTTCTTTAACAAGATGTTGAAGCCTTGGCATTGATGCGAAAGGCTCTTCAAACCACCTAACCTCTAATAATCCAGTTCAAAAGCAGAGTCATTTGTCGAAGTAAGAGAATAAAAAGTTCTGCAAATAATTTGGCAAGGTAGAGCGAAATTTTAAGGCAAATCAGACAAACTGAATCTATCCAAAAATAAGAATGTCACGATGAACTAGAACTAAAGATTTCACTCATGGATCACAATTTTTGTACAATAATATCAGCAAGTACTCCTGATTTTTAGGGCACTGCAGTAAAATATAATTAAAATACTGCTGTCCGAAACTGCATAGCATAAACAAACTGTTGAACTACTCATAACTCTTGAATCTCCTGCTTGAGGATCCTACTACGGGTACTTTAACTATCCATCATGATATAAATGAATTATGAACCATATCCACGAATATTTTGACGCACAAGAAGTTAAAGTTCAAATGAAGAAGAAATGATCATCATGAAAGCATTGTGCACCACATGGAAGTCAATTACGGAATAAAGCAAAGCGAATCTATGCTTAAATCAGACAATGAGAAATAGCACTTGGACAGTGAAATATTAACATATGCATACAATACCATGTCTTTGAATCAGCAATTCTGATGCACACATATCTTGTTAAGGAGCCCTCAATATAGCAAACAAGTAAGGATCCAATAAGCACACATACATACCAATAATTAGACTATAACAAGGCATTACTCTCAGAATTCTGAATAAAATTATGGCAACTCCCAAGGATAAGATACAACTAAAAAGAAATACTTACATTTAGGAAAGAGCCAAGTCGGCGGAGGCCAGAAAATCTCAGACAAGCCAAGATAAAGCCGCTCAGTAGTACCATGCTCCAAATTAAAAAATGCAGCATACTATTAAAAAATGCAGCATACTTGCCGGGGTAATCATAAGAACCCTTTAAATGGATTCTATAACTTAAATAAACACAATTCTGTTTACATACAGAGAACTCTCTAGCTGAAAGAAAGAATTTGCATTCCCCACACATAAACAAGGCTCTATTTTTCAATCCATCTTTCACCTCAATCAACTGATTCTTTCTTTCATCAAGTTTAAAAATATCAAAACCAACCCGACCACATCTTCCATTAGAATTCACAGAGAAGGGCGAGTCTAAACCGAACATTTTAATAAAAAACAAATCAGCAGCTGACTTTACCAAGTGGAATGAACAATGGACTCTCATTGGAATCCCTAATGAAGCCACATGTTCAACAACATTCAAGGACTTAGGATTCACACTAATGGTATTTCTAGAGCTCAAAACATAAAATTTCTTGTTATGGTAAATAATATCTAAAATAAATTCGAAACGATCATGATCAATATTTACATCAACCCATTTATTATCTCCCCTTCTTCACAGCACCACACGGTCTTTAATCAACACTGTTAGGGCCAAAAATCGTCCTTGGTCCAAATAGGAAAACGGGCCCGACACTGAAGAAGAAGCCAGGCCCAATCCCGATATCACCCAACCGGATTAGGCCCATTCGGTACAAGATATAGCCTGCCCAGTCCACGTGGGCACGAGCCTCATAATCCCAGTCCATTTCCTAAGTCCATGAGCGAATCCAGAGCCCATGGCCCCTCTCAGAATACTTTCCTACTCTTGATCAATCTCCCGTTCAAGATCACCTTCCTATTCCTGATCACTTTCCTGCTCGAAGTTACTCTCCTAATCAGAATCACCTTCCTATTCGGACATTGGTAAGACAACTTACCACGGCCCTAATTCTTCTAGGGTTTGCATCAGAGTCATACTAGGACTCCTACTTCTACCAGGATTGGGAGACCAAACAGTCACTATATAAGCAGAGGCAAGCCCTCTCACAAAGGAGACGACATTACACCTTCACACCCGAAGCTCCGACTTGAGAGCTTCACTTCACCGCCGTAGTCACAGTCCCCGACTAGACTTCCGGTAACCTTTTACTCCATAGCCCTCTCTATATTAGCCTTTCAGCCTTGCTGACTTGAGCATCGGAGTGCCTACGGCAAACACCACCCCAGTGTTTCTCGTTCGCTTCACGCGTGTGTTTCTCTACGTGTGCAGGTACAATAGATTGCTAGTGGCCTCAACCTCACGGGATCAAACCCCCCTTTCGTACAGGTAGATTTTTACGTCTACAGTTTGGCGCCCACCGTGGGGTCTCTAGCAATCATTCGGCTCAACGAACCTTGCTACGTGGAGGAAAATTCCATGGCTGACAACTCCAATAACGCTAACCCCGGCCTCGAGGCCAAACTGGAAGCTCTAACCGCTCTCATGCAACAGAACTTGGACAAAGTGGCTGCATTGGAAGCTAAGAACAATGCAATCCGGACGGAAAACGCGTCCGTCAGGTCAGAAAACCAATCCTTCAAGGAGAAGGTGAGTCAATTCTATGACCTAGAGTTCCTTCCCGGCCAAACACCCCTCAATCGGTTCCGCACCCCTATTCTGCCCATGCAACCTCTGCTTACGCCGGAGCCCTGACCCTCGGCCTTTGGCAAAAGGTCGTGTCCCTTAAACCTGTCTGCGATCGACAATTTTGTCCTAATTCATGGAGATAAAGATATGCCTGTAGAACACCAATCAACAGATTCATTCCAGCATCAAGACCAAGACGATCCGGTGGTAGAGAACCCTCATCCACAAGACCAGCTCAATCTAACCGTCCCAACACATACTCGGTTCGGCTCGGCTCATCCCTGCGGGATGAACGGCCAAACAAAACCAACAGCACCCGAGCCCATCCATCCTGACCAACCGAATAACTATCAGAGGACTCCTCTGACCATCCATGTAGGACGAAACACCAGAACAGTTACCATGGGAGTCATCCAACCGGAAGGAATGACCGAAGACTTATGCTACCAAGGAATGCACAAAGGGACTCGTCAGCCTACCCCAAGAGGGATGACCCAACGGAATGTACCAAAGATAAATGCAAAGGCCGACCCGGTCACGCGGGATGACCTAGTGGCGTCCCCTTCTCCTATGGAACAAGTATTAGCCAAGAGATTGGCCGATGTGGAAGCAGTGATGCGACGCATTCCAGGAATGCCAGTCCCAACCAAGAAGAGCAGGCCCCATTGTTACGCGGATTCACCCTTCGTGGACGAGATCGCCCTAGCCGACTTGCCACAGAAGTTCACTATCCCCAACATGAAAATGTACGACGGCACAACCGATCCGGACGATCACATAACCTCATAAAAGTAACGGATGTTCACCGTCTAGATACCCCGACCGCTTAGGGAAGCCTGCATGTGCAAAATTTTTGGTTCGAGCTTATCCGGCCCAGCACTACAATGGTACACGAACCTCCCGAATGGATCCATCGATTCGTTCGCTCAACTCACCGACACGTTTGTGGAGCAATTCGCCAGCAGCAAGAAACTCGAGAAGCTGTCAGCCGACTTGTACAGGGTATACCAGAGAAGGGGCAAGCCATTGAGAAAATATGTCAGCAGGTTTAATAGAGAGAAGATTTCCATCCTAGCATGCAACCCTGAGACAGCCGTAGATGCCTTCAGGAAGGGTCTCCTCCAGGACAGAGAGCTATACAAAGAACTTACAAAGCTGGGATGCACAACAATGGAAGACGCCCTGGCCCGGGCAGTGATCCAAATAAGGTAGGAGGAGGATGAGATAAACCGAACGATTCACTCCAGATATGAACCAAGGCGGAGCGATAGGAAGCCAAAGCCTGGACCGGTAGAGCATCGCTACCACCCTCCAGCACGCAATATGGGCAGAGTCAAGAAGCCTTATGATCGCCAACCCTCGAGAAATGATAACAGACAGTTCGAATCGAACCGACCCAGAATACCGAAGTACAACTTCAACGTCGAACCAACCCAGATCGTAGCAATAATGAAAGGATTGGGATCCACCATCAAGTGGCCTGGCAAGCTCTATCCTGAGGCAAGGAGAGACACAACCAAGTGGTGCGAGTTCCACAACGACCATGGGCACAACACCGCAGACTATATTGCCTTACGACTCGAGGTTGCCGCACTTCTGAAAAGGGGACATCTCCGTGATCTGCTTACTGACAGGGAAAGAACACTATTAGCCAGAAAAGCTCCAAAGAACCGTCACCCCCTCCGTGGGAACCCACACCAAAAGGTTTATATTCGCTCATCTCTGGAGGATCAGAGATCAGTGGGGTAAGTTACTCATCGGCCAAGCGGTATGCTAGAGCCAATCACCACCATGAAGTCTAGTCCATCCATCCGGTCTCGCGGTCACACTCTCATCAGGTAATTTAGTTTGAAGATGACGAACCAGCCACCCTGGCCGCTCCTCATCACGATGCTTTAGTCGTATCCCTGCAGATTGCCAACATCCTAGTGAAAAGGGTGTTCGTAGATGGAGGTTCGTCAGCAAACATCCTGTTCCTCGAAGCAGTAAAAGCAATGGGACTAGAAGAAGCAAACATCAACAGGCGGTCGACACTGCTGGTTGGGTTCAGCTTGGAGTAGAAATACACTATTGGAGAGATAGTCCTTCCCATCTACGCCGGCGGAGTGAACAAACAGACCGTCTTCCTGGTGATCGACTGCCCATCTCCCTACAACGTCATTTTGGGCTGGCCTTGGATCCACGACATGCGAGCAGTCCCACCTACCTTCCACCAGACGATCAGGTTTCCAACCAAGTGGGGGGTACGAGAGATCAAGGGCGACCCCAAAGCTTCCAGAGACTGCTACAAGAACGCCTTCAAGAGCAAAGGAAACTCCTCATAGTAATTACAGTCTCATCCAACCCCTCGGACCGAGCCTGACCAACCGACCATTGAGGAGTTGGATGAAGTGCAGATACATCCGGACAACCCCGAGAGAAAGACATACATAGGTTCCCGCCTTGAACCCGAGACAAGAGAGAAGCTAATAGAATTTCTCAAACAGAACGAAGACTGCTTCGCCTGGTCCCATGCCAATATGACTGGAATCAGTCCAGACGCAATGGTCCACCAGCTCAAGGCAGATCGTGATCATCCACCAGTGAAGCAGGGGAGGAGGAAATTCGCACATGAGCGAAACCAAATCGTCAATGAAGAGATTGAAAAGCTCCTGAGCAACGGCATGATTAGAGAGGTCCGCTACCCCGAATGGCTAGCAAACGTCGTGGTCGTAAAGAAAAAGAACAGGAAGTGGAGAGTCTGCGTCGACTTCACTGACTTGAACAAAGCCTGCGCCAAGGATTCTTTCCCACTCCCACATATCGACATGATGGTAGATGCGACTGCAAGGCATGAACTCCTTAGTTTCATGGACGCCTTCTCGGGATATAACCAGATCCTGATGCATCCGGACGACCAAGAGAAGACAGCATTCATCACAGAGAGGGGAACCTATTACTACAAAGTAATGCCATTCGGACTGAAGAACGCTGGGGCCACCTACCAACGGCTAGTCAACAAGATGTTCTCCAACTACTTAGGAGAAACTATGGAGGTTTACATTGATGACATGCTCGTCAAGTCGCTTATTGCCGAACAACACCTTGACCACTTTAGCCAGGCATTCGCCATCCTCCGGAAGTACAACATGAAGCTGAATTCAGCCAAGTGCTCATTCGGCGTCTCATCAGGTAAATTCTTGGGCTATATGGTTACTCAGAAGGGGATAGAAGCAAACCCTGGCCAGATCAGAGCGATCCTCAACATACCATCCCCGACTTGCATCAGAGATGTCCGGCGCCTTGTAGGACGAGTGGCCGCCCTAGGCCGCTTCATCTCCAGATCAGCTGATAAGTGCCACCTATTCTTCCATGCCCTCAAGAAGTCCAAGAAGTTCGACTAGAACCCCTCATGCGAAGAAGCCCTACAACAGCTGAAGAGGTATCTGACGACACCCCCGCTTCTTTCCAAACCTATGGACGTGGAGCCGCTCTACTCTTACCTAGTGGTCTCAAAGACAGCCATCTCAGTAGTGCTAGTTCAGGAAGAAGAATCAAAGCAGTTACCGGTCTACTATGTGAGCAAGTCGCTCCTCGATGCATAAACTCGGTACAGTCAACTGGAGAAACTGGCCTTTACCCTCATCCATGCATCCAGGAAGCTTAGGCCGTACTTTCAATGCCACTCCATTGTTGTAATCACCTCCTTCCCACTCAAGAAGATACTGCACAAACCAAAACTATCAGGCCGAATCATGCAATGGACAGTAGAGCTCAGTGAGTTTGACATATCCTACCAATCCCGCACCGCCGTCAAGTCCCAGGCACTAGCAGACTTTATTGTCGACTTCACACCAAGCGCCACCACCCAGGCTAAAAGAGAGTTACTATGCATGAACGGCGCACCACCCTCAAAGTGGACTCTCCTAGTAGATGGATCGAGTAATGTCAATGGAAGCGGACTCAAAATAGTACTGATCGCACCAGAGGGAGACATCGTCCAACGAGCAATCTGGTATGGGTTCAATTGCATGAATAACGAGGTCAAATATGAAGCCCTCCTAGCCGGACTTTCCTTGGCTAGAGAAATTGGAGCCAAGAGACTGGAAGTGAAGTCCGATTCCCAACTCGTAGTCAATCAACTACAAGGCACGTATCAAGCACGCGACTCAAAGATGACATCCTATTTGAGCATGGTCAAAGAGCTACAGGCCCAATTCAAAGAGTTCTCCATCGTACAGATCCCTAGAGCTGAGAACTACCATGCCGACGCCCTTGGCAACCTTGGCTCGGCACTCCCATGTTCCTCCCAGTCATCCATTCCTCTCTTATTCATGCAGTGGCCAGCCAACTGGAAGGAACAACCATCAAACAAGTCTCCCGCAGAAGCCATGGGCATTGAACAAGCCGACTGCTGGATGACTCTGGTAGTAAGGTACCGACTGCTGGATGACTCTGGTAGTAAGGTACTTGGAAAATGATGAACTCTCGGCTGACAAGAATGAAGCATGCCAATTGAAAGCAAGAGCCGCCAGATTCACCATACATGAGGGCCAACTCCTTAGAAAGTCATTCTCAGGTCCTTATCTCAAATGCGTAAGCCCAGAAGAAGCCCAAAGTGTCCTAGCCGAACTCCATGAAGGCAAATGCGGGAACCACGCAGGAGGCCACAGTCTTGCACATCGGGTGATCACCGTTGGATATTACTGGTCGACCATACGCACCGATTCAACCGCTTACGTAAAGAAGTACGATAGCTGTCAGAGGTTTGCCCATGTCTCACACCTCCCACCAGAGCGACTCCATTCCATCCTCACATCTTGGCCATTCATGAAGTGGGGAATGGACATCGTGGGAAAGCTACCTACTATACCCGGGCAACGAGTCTTCATGTTGGCTGTAATAGACTACTTTATCAAGTGGATCGAAGCCAAGGCCTTCGCACAAGTCAGAAATCGAGAGGTAAAGGCCTTCATCTGGAAGAGTGTGATCTGCAGGTTCGGGATACCGAAGGAGATCGTCACCGATAATGGATCCCAGTTCATTAGCTCAGGCTTCAGGGATTATTGTGACAAGTGGGGAATCAAACTGAGCTTCTCAACTCCCCGCAACCCCCAATCTAACGGCCAAGCCGAGTCATCAAACAAGACCATCATTCAGACATTGAAGAAGCAATTGCAGAAAGCCAAAGGCGCATGGGCAGACGAGCTACCTGGAGTCCTCTAGTCGTACCGAACCACGGCTCGATCATCAACGGACGAAACCCGGTTCTCCCTCACATACGGTTCCAAAGCAGTCATCCCAGTTGAAGTATCTGTTCCGTCCACCAGGCTCCAATGGGCAGACGAGGAATCAAACAGTCACAACCTCTGCCAGAATCTAGACACCATGGATGAGCTACGGGAACCGACGAGCATCCGCAACGTAGTTTACCAGCAATAGGCCACCCGACATTATAACCGCAATGTGAGGATCCGTACTTTCAAGATAGGCGACTGAGTCCTCCACAGGGTATTCCAAAACACCAAAGAGATCAACTCTGGCAAACTCGGTCCTACCTAGAAAGGTCCCTACAAGATAATCAAAGCAGCAGGGAAGGGCGCCTACAAACTCCAGACCCCCGAGGGCAAAGACATCAACAACAGTTGGAATGCCATTCACCTCAAACGCTATTACTACTAGGTGAACTTTGTTTATCTTTATTTTCATTTTAAAAAGGATGAGTGGGCCTATCCACCTCCTCTTAGACAGTCGTCCTCATGGCCAGAAATTTAATGAAGTACTATTTAGAAATTTTTTGTCTCCAAACCGACCCCGGTCGATGAATTACTGTCACCATCAGATCGGCCATACCGATAAACGTTCTAACGCCTTCAAATCGGCCCGGCCTGATAAATGTACGTACACCTTTGAATCGACCCTGCTCGATTCAGCCATGCTGATAAACGTACTAACGCCTTCAAATCGACCCTGCTTGATAAACGTACGTACACCTTCGAATTGACCCTACTCGATTCACGATGACACCTTCAGATCGGCCATGCCGATAAATGTACTAACGCCTTCAAATTGGCCCTGCCTGATAAACGTACGTACACCTTCGAATCGACCCTGCTCGATTCACGATGAAACCTTCAGATCGACCATGCCGATAAACGTACTAACGCCTTCAAATCGACCCTGCTTGATAAACGTACGTACACCTTCGAATTGACCCTACTCGATTCACGATG